TATTCACCTATCCTATATCCTCGTATTACCCCTTTACAATCAGAATTCCTTAATTGCTTATTTAAATGTGTGCGATTTTTAGCGGATTTCATGAGATTTCTTTACACCCCACCCCACCTTTCTCCTGTAAGCGTTGATCTGAGTCTGCCATATTATTCCGCAATCCTCTTCCCATAGAGCCTATCAGAGTCCCCCTCTTGCCCCATGAGATCGGTCCTTTATCTCCGTGGCTCAGGGATTTCACCCCACCACTGCTATCCTATCAATTCTACTCAAGGCGTTATTTCCCACACTCTGTCTCAAGCCCTTGATAGCACTTAAACTTCTGCCTCACTGAACAGGCAGACTAACTTGAGGCTATGGATCCCAAGTAATTCTCATGGTAAAGCCTTTGTTTCGTGGACAGCGTCAATAATCAAGCATGTCTACTATTAGCCAACTAGCTCTGGTACCCGCCGCACCTATTGTGCTTCTATCCATAATGCCGAGTCTATGACTTTCTATGCACTAGTCTCTTGTGTACCAAACTAATAATGTTATGGCTCAATTGTTTTGATTAGGCTCATGGTAGGTGCCTCCTCTTGGTTTCTAAATGTTCGTTTCTGGTCTCCTTTCATTTTTTTTCCATAAAATTAAAAATCTTGCCTTATTCATTCGTAGTTGTTTTGCTTATCTTACTATTGCCTGATCTTCTCAGAGTTTGCTTAAACACTATGCAAAGTTTTCGCTGATCTAACCTTATTCATGTCTTTTGTTCATAATATTTTTTTCGATCAGTATATCAATGACCTTAAGATTTTGCGTTTTCTCGTATTTTCACCATACAAAATTGGCATTTCTGTCGATTTCATGTCCTGTCCATACAATGTGTTCCGATAATTCGTATCTTTGCGTATCCATATTTTTACAGTCTTTGATTTGTAGGCCGATTTTTTTTCCTGTTTTACTAATATACTTCTGCTCACAGTTGCTGCAATTAATGCGATAAACTCCCGAGCAATCCAGTTTGCTAGTCTTCTCGTGTTGCATCGGCAGACTGGTGAAAAGTGATGTCTTCTCCTTTGTTAGCACCTTGATATTCCATTTTCTTGCTAACGGTCGCAATTTTGGCTCAGTCCACATGAGGACAGGCATATACACTTTTGGTGGTGAATTGGATCTTAATAAAATCCGAGTTGAAATCTGCTCTTTATGGCACCTACATTTTTTTAAATAAATTCTCTGATCTATCTGCTACAAAGGCAAATCCAAGTTAGTTTGTCCAACTCCTCGTCCCAGAACTCAGTGTCTCTTAGTCTTAAGCTTCTGATGATCAAACTCCTCAGTATCCCGATCTTCAGTCTGTGGTTATGATAAGATTGCAAATTAAGCATTATTCTCGCATTTTAATTATTTCTGAATAATTTCCTCATAGGTGTCCCGTTGGAGCTCACGACCTCAATATTCAGAAAGGGTAGTCGTTAATTCTCTTCTCTCTTTCGTTGGTTGATAAAATGGAGGAGTTCATTCAAATTTTCCTTACACGCGACCAAAGTACAAAGTAGTCATCCAGGTATCGCATACGAGCGCTTGGTTGCAGTGGCGACTTCTCGAATCCCCTTTCTTATTGGTCCATGCATGCATTTGCCAAAAGAGGTAAGAGTTGAGATCCTATCGGTAATCCAAATATTTGCTCATAGATACTGCCGTTAAATGTAAAATAGGTTGTTCTTATCGTCAGGTTGACCACTCGTGTTAACGACTCCTTCCCTATTCGTCCTGCCTCCAGGATACCCTCTTCTCGCTCCAATATCTCCAACGGCGCTTACCGTCTTCATAATATTTTGCTATCACATTTGTGCAATGAAATTTAGGAAGCAATTTTAAAGCATGGCCAGCAAGGAGTCTAGGGAAGAACTCACAGAGGGGGTAATCCAGTCGTCATTGATCGGAGGAGGCGTGGGTGTTGAGACAGTGCTCATAGAGACTTCTCCGATTATGGCGAGGGCCTCTTTCATTGCCTCATACATGCGGATCATCTCATCACGACGATGCTGCTGCTCCTCGGATTCAGTCATCAAAGAAGTCTATGAATAAAATAAGGAATAAAAAAATATAAGCAAATGCACCTAGGCTTCATGTATTTAGCTGTAAAATCACTAAACATTATCGTTTAAAACGTGCACTAAGGTAGCGAAGACCCCGGAGCTAGTTTCGGAGCGGATCATAACATGCCTATCTATCTCCACAGATGATATTTAAAAAAATATTTAGTACATATTCTAATATAAAAATGTAGGTTATGCAGAAAAAGTAAATAAAGTCAGCAAAGAGCTCTTTGTTGGTTCAGTTTGTAAATGGATTTTACAGACTGTGCGGCTCTACCTCTAATTAAATTAACACAGTAAATCGGTTCCTCCATGCGATTTGTAAAGATAGACAATTTTGATTCTAATAAAATATTTTCAATAAAGCGGAAAAGCTCCTGGCTACCAAGAGTGCGTGGCTTATCAAGTCCCGCAAAACTCTCAAGAAATATTTTAATCTCAATGAAGGAGTATTCTAATTCTGCCACTAGGATACGGTGTCAAAAGGGTACAGTAATAATGTCAGCCAAGCATAGACTGAGACCGAATGTCTAATGGTTTAATCGGATCATTCTCTACGTGTAAAGGTTCAGGCACATGGCCTATCTGTGAATGATGAAATTCAAATAAAAGTTGGTCTAGGATAACGTGACAGGTGAGGGAAATAGTGCTTTTTATATGGAATTTAGCTGAGTTCGGGAAGCTCTTTGATGTAAACGACAGTATTCTGAAGAGATTATAGGGATTTATATGCGAATAAAAGTTGGGTTTCGAGGAATCTCTTGTTTCATAATTGTTGAGCTTACTTCCATTTCGAGTGGAAATGTTGGATGAAGAGATTCGAAGGTCGGTTCCACCAGAAGACTACGGCGGATTGCTTCTGACCAGCTGTCGATTGGCTTTACTGGAAGATTCATGTTGATTCTGTATCGAGGTAATCTCATTCGATTCCGGTCAAAAGGTGCTAAGCTTTCGTCCGTCATATGACGAACATGATCAGAGCAAGGTATCATCGTCAAGAAAACTTGACTCGTTAGCTTGAATTTTGTTGTAACGATGTTACCTTGCTCTAATGATGTACGTCATATGACGGACGAATGCTTAGCATCTTTTCACCGAACTCGAAGGAGATTACCTCGAAAACATCGTCAGCATGAATCTTTAAGTAAAGCCAATCGACAGAAAAATTCATATGCAGAAATAATCCTAAATTTTCAGTCCCATCATAACTACAGACTGAAGATCGGAACTTGAGCAGATTGAGCATCAGAAGATTACGACTAATGGACACTGAGTTCTGGGACGAGGAGTTGGACAAATTGACACGGATTTGTTTAAGTAATGGATACCCCAGATACTTTATGGAGAAAAATGTTGAGGTGATAAAGAGCCGATTTCAACTTGGATTTCATGAAAATCAGATCAGGAATGAGGATAACAACCCAATGTGGATTTGCTTGCCCTCATCACAACTGAGCAAACAATTGCGACCTTTATTAGGAAAATGGAATATCAAGGTAATAACAAAGGAGAAGAAAACACTTTTCATCCGTCTGCCAACACAACACGAGAAGACGGATAAACTTGAGTGTTTGGAAGTTTATCGCATCAAATGCGGCAACTGTAAGCAGAAGAATATCGGTTAAACAGTAAGAAAAATCGGCCTACGAATTAAGGAACATCAGACTCTGCAGGAACATGGATACACAAAGATCAGAAATAGAACGCATTTACGGACGGGACACGAAATCGACTGGAAATCGACCGATAGGTTGGCTGGATATGGTGAAAATACAAGAAAACGCAAGATCCCAGAGGCCATTGGTATACTGACTAAGAGAAATCTAATGAACAGTAGACTTGAAGAAGGCAGGATCAACGAAAACCTTGCATATAGCCTAAACAAACTAGAAGACCAGGCAACAGGAAGATGAGCAAAAATAAGACGACTGGATCAAGGTAATATCCTTAATTTTAGGAAAATAGATCGCAAGGGGATGAGAAAGGAAGAATTAGAAGCAAAGACGTCTTCAGTGAGTCTTATCAAAACAAGTAAAACCACAACATTTGTGGGTTGGCACACAAGAGACCAGGACATAGAAGTGATAGTCATGGTATTACAGATAGAAACAGGAAAGACGCGGTGGAGACAAAAGCTATTTGGCTAACAATAGACGTGTTTGATCATAAACGTGATCCTTGAATCACGACTATTGTTAGCCAACCAGCTATAGCTTCCACTGTTTCTATCG